TCGCTGCTTTCCACGGATCTCCCGTCCAGAGCCTTTTTTGAGCGTGGACCTCCGCAGGAGCTTCGAAGCAGAATCCATTGCATGTTTCAGCAACGCATTGAACAAACCGTGGATGCCTGCAAGCTGCTAGAAAGTTTCTGGGCTGGCCGGCAAGATCTGCGTGAGTGTGAGCAACTCTCTGGGCCTCCTGTGCCGTCATTGTCATCTTCGACTCCAGCGCCGTCATTGTCATCTGCGACCGATGACTCCTATGACTCCACCACCGAAGCCGATGACGCCGATGACTGCACCGCCGTCATTGTCGCCGAGGCCATCGTTGGCACCGCCGCCAGCACCGCTGTGAAGGCCTACGGGCGTCCGTGAGGTGCCCGCAACTCTTGCCGGCAAGCGAAGAAAAAGAGTGTCAGGCATCATTGGCCGGAAATAAGGTAGATGGCACATTCGACTGGTGCACGGACTTCCGATTCCATACATGTTCGCTGCTGCTTGCAAGAGGTTCTGGCATACATGACAGATGTTCTGTAGCATCCGTGCAGGCTCAATGTGCAGCAGAACAACTTGTGCTGTCGCTCTTCAAGGCGGCTGCTTTGTTTGCCAAAGAACGGAAATGTTGCAACCGGAGCTGTGGCACAGGTGCAGTTTGCGAACCATGTCGAGGGCGATATTCTCTTTCTTCTTGGGAGGCGGTCTAGTGAAGTCTCAAACGAACGCAACAATAGAGTCTCAGCAGAGTGGCTTGTCGCATTTCTGTGTATTCCCTGCCAAGTATCAAGCCCTCGCGCCAGGTCAGCGACCTCTTCCTATTATTGAGACACAGACGTCTCACAGTGTCATTTGACACGTTCGCAGTCGGTAGGTGGTGGGAGGTAGGTAGGTAACAAGATCGGCAGATTTTCGCCGAAGCAGTAGTCGGTAGGTCTGTAGGTATACTTGCTGGGTAGGTGGGTCTACGTAGGTAGGTAGGTGGTAGGGAGGTAGGTAGGTAGGAATATCGGCAGATTTGCGCCGAAGCGGTAGTCGGTAGGTATGTAGATATACTTGGCAGGTAGGTAGGTCTACATAGGTAGGCAGGGGATAGGGAGCTAGGTAGGCAGGAAGATCGGAAGATTTGCGCCGAAGCACTACTCGGTAGTAGGTGGGTCTACGTAGGTAGGTAGGTGGTAGGGAGGTAGGTAGGTAAGCCGCCCCGGAACCTCCCGGAACCCATCGCGGAACCGCTCGAATCAGAATCTTTTGATGGGTGGGGGTGGTGGGTGGGGGTGGTGTGGTGGGTGGTCAATGCCTTCATCTACAGCTCTCTCGCAGCTTTTCTGGCGTCTTCATGTGAGCCTAATGAAACCACTCCGCTGTTGGGGTACTCAATGGGATTATTTGATGTTCGCCAAGATCATCTAAACGTGCCGAACAGCACTGAATCGCCTTCGATACCACCATATTGGTGATTAAAGGTGGGCAGGACAACTTGCACTGTTTTGTTGTTACACCGAGACCAAAAGCATAATATTAAAAGCTTGTGTTCACGAACAAGAGAGGTTTACGGAAACAAATTGACTTCAGATTTCAACCTGAGGCGTGTAGTCGTATCGTGTGGCACTCAGCTTCTTGTTTCGTTTTTCATCGGATCTGTTGTTGAAACCAATCCATAATTCTCAACACCCGCTCTGGGCGGGCGACCGTGTGTGAGATGTCGTCACCGAACATGTGCAAGTCTTTGCAGAATCCACTTCGCAAAAAATCAAGCTGCCCCTGAGGGCTTTGCCGCGATCAAACAATCGCCAGCACGCGGAGTCGCGAAGCCGGGGCTTGGGAGTTCAACAGTCCGAATCCTAGCCGGCCTGTCGGGGGTTTTGCGCACTTTTTTGGTTTTGCGCACTTTTTTTGCAAACGCTGATTCGGTGGGCATCTTGTGGTGGGTGGCAAGACTTGAAATGCCATTGTGCCGTTTGAGACCCAATTTTGTGTTTGATTCCTGTTTGCTGCCTTGAGCGATGGCGGCTGTGGAACCGCTGCTTGACGATCATTTGCCTCGCTTCAACATCACAGTCTCATCACAGTATGTTGGATTGAGATGCGATTTCAAGGTCGAAGTATCGTGGCTTTGATGCCACGCCCCCTGCTCAGGGGTTGTATGATCCGCGCAATGAGAAGGACCGACCACGAATTATGTGAAGTTCTTTTGTTGGTGATGTCGAATGCTGTCATGAAGCAGGACAGCTGTGGAGTTGGAATGGTAGCCGACATCACAGGAGCGCAATCCAGATTGGGCTGACGCTTCATCAGCCGTCATGTGATGTTGCGTCCAGACCACCTCGACTGTTGACAGGCGCGCCGTCTCGGACAATTGTCGACGGAGCTCTGCAGGCATATCGACACTATAAGTCAGTATCTTGAACTCGCGCATTGTAACGACTGATCAATTTGTTCAAGTCTGTGCAGAGAACAGGTGCTGGAGAACTTGGATCACAGAGGCGCTCGTGGCTGCGAGAAGGACGCCGATGCTAGTTAATGCTGTTCATGTCGTTTCGTGTCAGCAAGCCCAGTGTTGACTCCATTCCCAGGACACTGGCGACGGTGCTGGCATCTTGTGTGGTATTCCCGATCGATTCATGCGGCGTGTTGCGGCGGAATTGTCAGTGGAGCTCCCTCCTCCTCGTGAGCAGCATGGTTGCAACCGAGTGCAGGAAACATTCAGCCCTCCTTTTCTGGCTTGGAGTCCATACCACTCGAGCAAGACAGCACACAGCAAGGTATGCAGTTGGCAACGTCTTTCTTGACCGCTGCTGCAGCCTGAGTAGATAGGGGCGAGAACAAGATTCGATCATGAAGCTCGGAAGAGCCCGAGCTGCAAAAAACCGCGAAGATATAACTCAGGCGAAGATGGAACTACGGAAGGCAAAAGGATATTTGAGCAGCTGCTTGGTGCGGTTAGCGCACCGGAGCAGTGCTGGATGTCGCGTTCATGTGATGTTGGAGCAGCCACTGGAGTTTTCGTTGAGTTGTGTGTGTGTGTGTGTTTTACTGTCTTGCTTGATGTGCCGACGTTTTTTTGCAACATGTGTCAGATCTCTACATAGACAGCCTTGCACGGACAGAGTGCGTGTGTTGCTCGCTAGTTCTTTCTTTCTCTCTTGTTTTCTTGCAGTTTCCTTCCCTACCACTCCTCCCTCTTCGAGCGACCGCAGATCGTAGCCGACGCCTAGGGTATTGGCTTCAATTGATGGTCTCCGCATGATCACTTGGCGCCGGGTGCCGGTTGAATCGGAGTGCCTGGGCAAGACTGACACTTGCTTGCAGCTCAGCTGTTTTGCCGTTGTGCCGCACGATGATGCGGCTTTCACGGGAAAGAAAGGCATGGAGAAAACGAGAATCTGAGTTTACTGCAGCATTGACTTTTATTCCTGAAGTTGCCGACAGGCCAGAGATCACGAGCCGACCATCGAACAAGCCTTCATTGCTGCAGAAGGCAGCCCGCGGGCGGTTCCGTTCGGATTAAGTGGGCAATTCTTCGCTTTCAGTCAGGCGCTTTGAAGAAGGACGTGAAGAAATTCGAAGCAGCTCTTTTCGTCCTCCGGAAGCGTGCTGCCAACCTGGCTGCTCAACAGCCTGGGCTTCCTTTCTACGCATCTGGGTCGAAATAGACGAAAGTGCCAAAGCACTTTGCTACATTCTCCAGAAGCTCAACAACCATCTACCCCTCCATACAGGCTTTGCTTTTGAGCGGTGGTGAGACAGGTGTGCTCGTTGTCTCCGAGAATCATCAACTACAAGGGCATGCTCACATGTCCAGGCGGTGCAGATAGGGAAGCGGCTGCTAACGCTGGGTTTCCGTTCTCCATCGTCCTTGGACATGTGCCCACGCAGGTCTCGTCAGATATTTCCTGGACCTGCAAGAGGATGACTTCGAGTCTCACGTTGCGTCTCTGGGCTTTGCCATGAATTGATTTGGAAACGAGTCTACCAGCAGAGTTGTTTGATTTGTTCATCTTCCGTATCTTTCCCGACTAGAATTTCTCTGACAAGTCTCTATCACCAAGGCTGGTTCATAGCCGATTCTCTACCAACACCTTCCCTGCGTGGAGACGCGCTCATCCATTCCGCCACATCTGCCACAATGGTGAAATCAACACGCTCAAAGGCAAGTCGTCGATTGCATTACGTGTTTTGAGGTGAGATTTGCCAGGAGTGCAGATTGGTTAGGTGGGGTTTGTCAAGCTCTGCTTGATACAGAACAGACGCTCAGAAAGCAGACATAAGCAGACGAAGATGGGCATGCAGTGTATTGAATGTTCTACTGCTGCAGACTGCCAGCAGATAGTCTGTTCTCAAGCATTGCTTTCTCCGAGCGTTGCTTGCAGGAAATGTGAACTTTGCGCGAGCGCGTGAAGGATTGATGAAATCCGAGCTTCTGGGGCCTCAGCTGGAACAATGCTTTCCTTTGATGGAACTGGCCCCATCCTCAGATGCAGATTGTGATGCAAGCTTCCAGTAAACCGGGACATTGCTACACCTTACCACGAACATGGATGTCAAGGATCAGACGGACAGTGGAATTTTCGACAACTTCTTGGAAGTGCTGACAATTTCAGGTCGGCCACACCGTTGTATTCACATTCTTGTTGGTGCTCTCCCAGAGCAGTGATTTTGATAGTCCTTAGTTGTGCTGCCGGTGCACAGCCTGTGAAGACGTATCTTCCGTTCCTGCGTCAGGACGAACACTGCCGGAGGCTGTGGCCATGATGATGCCACCTGCATGGGTGGCCCGGCTCCATCAAAGCTCGCACTCCCGGGCAGACCATGTTTAAATCTGAGGAGAATTTGGACTCCATGGACTCGAAGCTTCGAGACTACTATAAGTACCAAGCAGCCATCATGGAACCCTGGGATGGGCCAGCACTCGTCTGCTTCACGGATGGTGACGGTGTCGGACAGCTTTGTTTTGAGTTGGCTCAGTCGAATTGTAGCGTGGACTCAGGCCGACTTAGGCCAACGTAGGAATCGTAGACTGTCAGAATCTGACACTTCAGGAGCTTCGCTCGACAGAAATGGTCTCCGGCCATGCCGCTACTATGCAGCTCGCCCGCTTCCGTGATCCTTCCCTTCTGTCTGTTGTGTTGCCATTTTCGGTCCGATGTCAGCTACCATGCTCGTTCCTCGCAGCAAGGTGACGAAAGACAACAAGCTAATCGTCTCTTCGGAGTGTGGTGTGCTGAAGCAGCCTGCAGACAGCATCGTTGCAAAGGGGCGCTTGTCACCAGGCTGGCGTCTCCAGTCGCTTTCGCTGGCGATACTTTTCGTGGATCTTACGGATGTGACGATTTGTTGCAGGCAAGATGCTCTGGGCAGACTTCGGCAAGCATACCTTGACTCAGGCATTGCGCCACGCATGTAGCTGCGTGTGCATGGCAGTATTGAGCTCCATGGTCCATTTTTCAGTTACAGCGTGGAGCTTGAGCGGCCCCACAAGTCAGGACGGTGAGCTGAAGGCCCAGTTTGCTTCTGTCTTGCCTTGGGGGGATTGGTTGAAGACCGAAGCAATGACTATGGAGACTTTGTCTCTTGGCGATAAGAGCTGTAGTAGCTCTAGGAAGAAGCATCCAATGGCTGCACTGCATCGGAGCATGCCTGAGGTTGAATGCAGGCTCTTCGACGCTTCCATCAGTTCCTCAAGATCTGCGAGCGCCACTTCTCCGTGCTTTCGGCTACACACAGGCGCAGAATCAAGGCATGTGTGCGCGGAGAAGGCTTAAGGGGCTGCAACCGGCAGGAGTCCTTGGAGTTGCTGCTCCTTCCCATGGGAAAGGACACAATTTTTGCAAATTCGATTGCACAGAGTGTACAGCTAGTGGATAGCCTGCGTCGACATTGTCAGAAATCTCTGGCAGGATGGGGAAGAAGCCCTGGGGAGTATGGGCAACGACACGCCATTGGCTTGCCTGTCTGAGCAGAATCGTCCGGTCTTCGACTTCTTCTACCAGCTTTTCGCACAGGTTCTCTGTGACGGTTTAAGTTCATCTGATCGTGTAATTGACGCATGACCTACAAAATTTGCAGCATTGGTTTGGTGCCATTGTGTGTCGCTGCTGTACAGGTGACCAACCCGCCTATCGATCCGATTCGTGAGTCAGTCGTGATGTCGCTAGGCACGGCACGGTTTCAGCTCGGTACATTCCAACGGAACCACTGATGCAGGATGCTGGGTCGGTCCCGAGACCAATGTGCTGAGCTCACCCAGCCCTCAGCACTGCCAGCGGTTGTGGTTGGACAAGCCATGCTTGCTTCCGGCCACCTGATTCACACCAGCTCTTTAGAAACATTGTACGGGAGGGGGTGTTGGTTCGGTTCAGATTGACAGTCCGGCGAACGTGACACTGGTTGTTTTCCCTCATGGGGTCTACAGGCTGTTTACAAGCACAGTTCCTCGCATGTCCACATCGTTGCAAGGTTGTGTAAAGCTGAGCCCATCTTCTAAATAGACAGCCCAGTACTTCTTGTGCCTGCCATCTTATGACATTAAACTGCTGTGCTTGTTGCTAAAGCTTATTCTCTTTTCGGGCCGGGTGAACTAGCCATGGCTGTTGCTTTTTTTCATCAGTCCCACATGCCACAGTGGCGTCTTCGTGCTTGGGAGGCACATGACAAGGTTCATGCTTGTTCAACAACCCTGCTAGTCTGCAGTTTGTTTGCTACAGCACTGGCCTTTTCCGCAAAGGCTCGAGCACTCCGGCTCGGATAGTGTTGTTGCAGAGCTAAGGCTGAGATGGCTGCCTTATCCCGCACGACGGACCTCAAGGGTTGGAAGATCAAGTCCTGCGACACCACTTTCCCTGTCACTGAAGGCGCTCTCGATGGTGCACGGAATCGATGCCTCGCAAGCTCCCCATAGGATCTTGGCCAGAACAACGGGGCTAGCAGATGCCGTCAGAAAACAGCACGCCACTGGAGTAGGCTGTTTGCAACAAGAGGTTTCCGGACATAATGGATTTCAACTTCAACTCATGTATTGTCGGTCCTCCGAATTTAATTCGGCACTTGGCAATTTTTTCGGATCGAACCGTGCCTCGTCGATAAGGGAAAGCAGATGGTCGTACCGGCAGGGACTTGCGCATAGGAGTGCATCAGGCAGAGGCCGAAGCACAAACCATCAGTTCCGGTGTCATGAGACTGCATGGAGGTGCAACTGGCATGGAGCACCACCTGGCAAGGGTGTGCAAGGAAGCGACGGCGGCTGCCAAGAACTTCAGCAGCAATGATTCATGGTGCTTCGTGATGAGTCATCTGCATGGGAAGTCATTCTAGCCTCAGGAATGGTTTTCAAATCATCGTGCTCTCAGACAGGCCATCTGTGTAGTCGATCGCAACAAGCCCTGCCAGCAGATTGCAGCTTTGTGTAACCTGATGTCGTACTTTGCAGTTCCTGAAGGACTGGTAGTTGGCCACACAAGACTCTTCTTCGTTAGCCATCGAGAACATGTGAAATGTCGTGGGAAAGTGCTTGCCGCGCTCCAGGACTCCGCGAAGCTTAACATGGGAATATGATACGGAATATGTGGCAATTCCAAGATAGGACGAATGCTCCAATCGACACATCTCGGTGGGCAAACGTGTTCGGGGAACACGCGCTATCTAGAATGGTAAGATTGATGGTTTGTTTGGATCCGATCCAGCCGGACTCGTCCTGAAGTTGTCGATTTCTCATACTTGCGCATCCTTGTGTGTCATCTTCCCACTTCTCACACACACATTTCCTCACTGGCCAAACATGACTTTGCAAGCCTGTGGCCTATCGCAAGTGCTGTCAGCCTTCTTCGTCCGGCTGCGCCTGAAAATCCTGTCTGAAAGATGGTTTCTAGAGAGTCAGAAGGCTGTCTGAGTTATGTTTGGCGGAGCCACAATTTGCTTCGGGAGTTCCAGCTCCAGCCTGCCCACCTTTACTGCCTGCAGCGGTCACACAGATGTTGTTTTGGGTGCTGTTCTGCTGTCAAGCTGCTCTTCTTCAAAGCCGAAGCTTGTGGTCTAAGCCGTGCATTCACGTGGCACGGCTACGGCAGCTCCGGCAGGTCTTTATCTGAAAAGCATGCCCCAATGCCGTCGCTCCTGGTTAGCGGTGCCGTGCATCAAGCACTTGTGTCGGAGAAGCTCCGCACCAAGGCAGGGTGTAAACAAGCATGCGAACAGTTTACGGTTGCTCCGGCGTTGTCAGAGCCTTTAACCCTTTGCGAGGTCGCGCTTGTGCTTGAGAGTGGAGAGCCCTTCGAAGTGGCACATCATGCAGCCCAGACGCAGACTGCAACATGTGCTCGGACATGTTCCTACAGCTGCTTTAGCGATTCTGCATAAGTGGTGCATGTTTTTCAGTGAGTTGTACTTGTGTGTGAATGAAGTGTTTGTGCATGTATGTATTGTATGCACAAACACGCACGCACACCCGTTGTATGTATGTGTATGACTCATGTGCATACATATGTATACATGCCACATGTATATACTTGACATTGGTTGCTCAAAAATTTGATTGTGTTGTTTGCATTATATCCACAGCGCCCGCACACATTGATATATCTACAGGCACGTGCATATGACATGTTAATGCACGTGCATATATATTTTCTTTACACACATCTACATAGATGTGTCTGTGTGTACCTGCTTCTTCTTAGATTTCTTAAGACCCCTGGTGTACAGACCTGTACATATCTACATATGCTTACATGTAGATATGCACAGACACACGCTTCGTCTCATATGTATCCATAGAGGGTGTGTAGGTGGCTACATACAAGTATACGTACATATATGCGTACATACATACATACATACATACATACATACACATACGCATCATATGCACGCTCATACACATACGTATACATGTACATGGTCGTTTGCATAAACGTATACATACGCGTAAATTACATAAAACTACTTGCACATGCACATATACATACATATACATGTTCATGTGTTCATATACATAGACACATACATATACTTTCCATATCCGTATACATATACATATACGTACATGCATACATGCCTACATCATGCTGGCTTCCGGCCCACCCCATGTGGTATTGATAAGTGGATGCCTAGATTCGTTTGACATGCTGGAGAAGTCTGACTGTTTAGAAGAGCTTTCAGCTTAATGCTGTTGTTTCGCTCCACATGAACTGATGTCATCGTGCTTGTTGCAGACCGTCTAAACAGCGTAACCTAACATGTATATATCGCGATGTTTCCTCTATAGCAACGTCGAACTGAGTGTCGTGATCTGGCGGGCATACTAGAATACAGTACTAAGCTATTGCTTTGCCTCCGAGCGATGCTGTCAAACACAGCTTAGGCATTTACGTTCTTATTTGCTTTATTTTGCTTTCCTTGCTATTTGTTTTCGGTAAATGTGGGCGGACGGCACCCAGACTTATGTTATCGTACCGTGATGACTCTGCGCAACTATGAAAAGCTTACTCTGCACATCCTTGAGCACCTTAACCGGACCTTTTTGGCTGTCAGCTGTATTCGGTTGTGTGGTCCTTACATGCTAAAAGACTGATTTGGCAGGTAGCAAAGACCTTGAATGTTCATATATGTTCATGCAGTACTAGTGCTCGTTTGGACAATCAATGCTGCAAGCCTTCATTCACCTTGACACTGGTGGAGGTGTCATAGATTCTACAGGGACCCTGTTCTCCGAACAACTTTAAATTACGAAGGCTCCCTCCGTGAGGGAAGAGCTTTCGTTTGAGACCCGGCTTTGCTGATCAGCTATGGGGGGTGGTAGGGGGGGACCACCCAGAAAGTCGCCCAAAACGCCCTCCGTTTTCGAGCCAAGCCCAGGCCATGACGGGTTTCGGGCGTGGGCCACACGCGCTCCTGTTCGGGGCTGCACGCGCGACTCTAGGAGAGACGTCTTTTTGGAGAAACGGGACCCCGATGATGCTTATGATGCCTGGTGCAGGGGCGGGGCGGGTGGGGGTGACGTGCGGTGAGTGAAAAAGAAGTATCGCCCATCTCCGTCCTGTTCCGCCCCCGCGCAGCTTGCCCCCGGTTTCACCCTTTCGTGGGGCGCAAGTCCCTGTGCCATGCAGGCAGAAATCGCATGCATACATGCATACATGGTGCCTGAATTTGTTCGTTTGTTTCCGTGCATGTGTTCGCACGGGGGATTGCAGGCTTTGCGGTGTTCGGGTATATCTGCCGAGAGAATGCCTTCTGGTATGGGTAGTCTGCTGCGTGTTTGGGTGCTTGGCCATACACGCAGCTTTGCTTTCGGCCTGGCGATTTTGAGGCGCTATTGCTGACTTTTGGCTGTGACGCTATCTTCCCTTACATGGCCTACGAAGCCTTGCAGCTTCTGGGAGACGAGGGGAAGCCGCTGCATTGATGTTAAGGCAGAGTGTTGCACGCCTCTGTTTTGGGGCTGGTCAGAATCCCGGCAGCCCCTGCGATAAGATGCCTAAGGTTCGGAGACAGCTGGTCAAAAGAAGAGAAGTTCGCGAAGTATCAGAAAGCTGTTGGAAAGGGCCTGCTGAACCTTACCAGTATGCTATTCATTTCGAACGGTTGCAGGCATTGCAAGCACTACCGCATGCTTGAGTCGTCCAGGAAAATTATGGCCAAGATGGGCATCTCCACACTGCGCAGCTACAAGGGTGCTCAGATCGCGGATGCCATCGGTCTGAGCAAGGAACAACCGCTTGTTTTGCACGTGATTGACACACGCACACACAACTGCCTGCATTGCTGCTCGGCCAACCTTCTTGCAGCTTGGAAAGCTTCTTTGTTGGAGAACTTCGTCCATTGACTTCACAGTGGTTGTGCTGTTTGCTTATATGATCTTGCAACAGAATGTGGCAGACGTGACAGCCATGATGCGGTCGCGATTGCTGGGTGTTTTGTGCTCTTAGTGTTAGCTAGACCTTTTGAAGAAGAGAGACACTGTACTAGACGTATATCTTGACATGACTCACTCTCACGTGACTGACGGACGTTCGGACGGCCGGGCACATGCAGGCATGAATGCAGAAGGTGACTGACAAATGCATGAACCAATGAGCCAACGATTTATGAACAAACTGAAGAATGGGCAAACAGTTTGTTTGTCCTTGGTCCTAATTCTAAGGCCATGCTCTCAATTAGAGCCTGAACTATTTGTTGGTGGGCAGCCGTATTTGTTGTTGTCCCTGTCGGACATTCACGTGTTACCCTGCAGCAGGGAGCATAGAGACGGCAAAAGCGCAGGGAGAATGGACCCTAAACCCTACGCCCATTGATGCTCAGGTGGGCATGGCAGGAAAAGATGTCTTGTAAGCGGTCGTCTTGCACTGGGGGGATCTAGGGGTGATGACTCGAACGGTTCGAATGAATGACGAACCAATGAACGAATGAGAATGTGAATGAATGAATGAATGAATGAATGAGTGAGTAAGTGAGTAGGTGTACAATGTATACATGATATCAGGAATGAATTGGGCGAGCGAACAAACGAATGAAGGAACACATGCATGGAATAATCAGTGTATGGACGAATTGATGATTAAATGCAACACACGCATGTAACGAATGCATGCATGCATGCATAGATGGATGGGTGTCTGGCTGGCTGGCTGGCTGGCTGGCTGGATGCATTGAGTACATTAATTCATGACTGCACGACTGCATGAACGAGTGACTGAATCAGTCAACGAATTCATGATGGAACGAATGAATGAGTTCATGAACGAACGGTGAGCTGTTGAACAAGCTTATATGATCGACACCTGACACAGTCAAGCCATCGAGAACTTGACAGGTTGAAATTCGTGCAAGGGTTTTTTGCATGAGCCACTGACAGCCAGCACACCTGTGACACGAACAGCTGTTGTCTGCAAACCACTTTCTGATGGCAATTGGCATGCAAATGAAGTGAAGCGATGGGAAAACAATACTGAATAGAATCAGCAAGCCCAGGCAAGCCGAAGATGAACAAGGTCAACGGGCTGAAAGAATCTTCAAACTATAGAATGGTTTGAATGGGATGATTCCGAAGAAAGGAGCACATGGCATGCAAGTTTCAAGCGGCTGAATTCGAGTGAACAGTCCCTAGGACCAGAAAGGCAGACCTTGCACGAATTAAGCGGTTTTAGTCGCGTCGGACAGATCGAGACTTTTGTTATCTCTGCATTTGCTAAACACTCGAAGTGTTGCTTGGCCAATCCTAAACTTTTTTGTTCGAGTTAGGGCATGCGACGGTTAACGGACATGTGGTTTCTGCCGGCGAGGAAGTGGCCGAAATGTGCTTCACTGGCATTGCAAGTCAGCTGGGCGGCCTCGGCTTTGAGCAGATTGCTTTGCGAACACTTTCTGTTCATGATCGTGGCTTCTCCCCGGACGGCGGCTATACTGTGACTCGCCCAGTTGACTTCCGTTCTTATTGAACTGTTCTCAGTGCGGGTGTTTTGTCGATTCTTCACTTTGGTGCTCCCGGTAGCAGGCTTGCCCTGAGCGCCTTCAGGGTACGTATGTGTGTATGCATGTGTGTAAAGATGTACAGATGCATAGATGCTTGGATGTTTAGATATGTATATATATATATATGTCTGATTTTTCGGTTTGGTGGGTAGGAATTCAGAGTTCAGTTTACAGATCGTAAGAACAGCCGTGATCACTTTGTCCGGGCATTGTGGCGATCAGTCGATCGGCCCGGATTTTCGATCGTCGGCGTGGGAACAGACTAGATCCAACCAGCCATCGTTCCCTCCAGCTGGTCCATTCCGCAGCTCGGATTAGCAGCAGGTTCCTCAGTTTGGGCCGCCGAGGAGGCTCCCTTTAGCAGACACTGTTGGACAGTGGGGGCTCAACACTCGGGGCAAGCTCAGCCGCCAGATCAACACACGGCTTCCCCAGCATCCTCTGGGGACGGGGGAAGCGGATGGAACCGCGACGATCGTCGCCGGCGGGGCGGTGATCGAGCAGCTTCGTGGTCCAGAAGCCCGACTTCGTGGAGCACGTGGTGGTCGAGGAGGCAGATTCCAATCGCAATTCCCTGTTTGTGATCGACAATATAGACGAGCGGCGGATCAGCCCGTTCCAGAACTGGCTGCTCGACGAGATCATGGCCAATGCCGCGAGCTCGATCAATGTGCTCACGGAGCGAGATCAGGTGATGCAGCCGAACTCCGGCTACCACTGCCCCCTGTTCGCGAACTACATGCTCGAGGGCATCAAGGCAGTTTTGGTGTTCACCATGTCGTCGAAGACCGGAGACCCATGTGCTCAGTGGGACTCCTACGCAAGTCGATCTCTGTCCCTCTCGGCTTTTCAGCCGTTCACCGTTCACATGGCCGGTCATGCTCGACACTTCGGCCACCTATGTGGATGTCAAGGTCTTCAACGGCAATGTGGTCCTGTTCCGCCGGGTGTTCAGAGGATACCGGTCGGACTCTGACCTCTCGGTCTAGCAGCAAATCTTCGACGAGGTGCTGATCGCACGGCAAATGAGGGATGCTTCCGACCCTCGATCGTGATCTCCGCCTTCGTTGGATGGAAGGTCTCCGTGCCTTCCTTCGTTCGAGGTCGGAGCGAGGGTCTACTCGATCGGGCCCCGTGGATCTGTGGTGGCCAGTGATCACGCCAGAAGCAACTGCGAGCTCCGGGTGACCTCGTGCTCGTCGACGGAGGGCTATGGCAACCGGTTCAGGGATCAACCGGATCGACCTGAAGTGGGGTCGAACGTCCGTGCCGGGGACGTGGCTCTCGGTCAGCCACAGTTCGGGGCCAGCGTTGATCAACACCATCCAGGCATGCCGTCAGCAACTTCGCGCAGCTCTCGGCGATGATCGCACCCTGGTACAAAGAATCCCGGGCTGTGAGCGCAGCCGATGTGGGCACCTTCACTGACTCCTTCCCGCTCGATGGCAAAAGGACTTCCACATCAGGGCTCGGTCGAGGCTGTTCGTGAACCCGTTGCAGTTCGTGCGCCTGGAAGCCCTGGCCCATCGCTCGCATGATGAAGGCCAGGCGGTGGCAGCTCACGGCGGACCGCCGGCGATCATGGAAGAGGCGGCCGACATGCCGTCAATCAGCTTGGCACCTCTGCCAGCTCAGCGATCGCTGACGTCCCGGCATCCGCCCAACAGCCAACAGCTGCGCGATCAGCGGGTAGCAGAGATCCAGGTGATCCCGGAGGGCCAGTTCTCCGAAGCGGAATCCGCAGAGGAGCTCCTTGCTGGCGCTCGCGATCGCGTGAGAGCTGACATGCGCTTTTCGTGAACCTCGGCTCCATGTTCGAGCGGATCAGCACGGTCAGGGTGGAAGAGACTGGGCCTGCGATCGATGCCGAGGCCATGCCGACGTCGGCTCCGACGTCCTTCACGTCTCAGCATCCTCCTGCTCCGAGCTGGTCCTATGCCATGAACCCCTCGGTCGAGTGATGATGCGCTCGACGTCGTGATGAAGAATTTTGCGCGGTCGCCCTGAAGATTCGGGTGGCTCCGCCGTGGTTCCGGCCTTGTGATAACCTTGCCGGCAGATCAGCCGTGCTCTTCCGAGCGGAACAAACAATGCCGAGTGTATCGGCGCGCTTGATCCCCGCGCAGTTCTGCTCGCACATGCTCAGGTGTTGTCAGCTTGCCTTGGCCCAAGCACAGCGCTCGGGCGCCATTAGCAAGCACGTGCGATCGTCAGGTGCAGCTGTTCAGGCTAGAGGCTGGATAGATCTGTTAGAAAGATTCTTTCGGTGCGCGTGTTCAGTAATGAGTTTGGCCAATGGTTGGTAGATCTTCGAATGGCTCAGTTCGAGAAGCTCTCTGCTGTATCGGATGGTCCGATCGCGGAGTGCGTGCAGTCGTTCGTTCATCTTGTGCCCGTTCTGGAGGATCTCCATGCTCCTTCGAGCCGGAAGACGGAGGAGGAGATCTAGAGGTGGGTGCCATCCATCGAGTTGCATGTCATCGATGCGAAGCACAGCGGTCCACTATCCCGTTGAGGCACATCCCCATTTGCGGGCCTCACCAGCTTCCTGAGCCAAGAGTGAGAACTTCGGCTCGCCTTGGCTGGTATCGATTGCCCTTGGCCTCTTGGCCAACCGCGCCGGCACGAGCTGGCCTTCACCTGCCGTCCTCCCTTTAGTCCCAGCCATGCCGAAACCCAGATCAGTGGCAAGCTCTGCCCATCCGATCATGTCGAGCATCTCGGGGATGACATGGAGCGCATCGTCGAACCTCAAAGAAGAAGGTTCGAGCGGAATCGGAACGGCTTCACGTGTCTCTTTCCCGGATCGCCGATGGACCTTCTTCTGCAGGGCCATCACGCGTGGATCCGTGAGGTCTGGGCAATCTAGTCCGATTCGAACCGACGGGATGACTGTCGCTCCCTAAACTGCCCAGAGCGCCGCTGACCATTTGCATGGGCGCTCGAGGTTCCGATCGAGGCCCCCGGCCGAGCGTCCTGTCAAAACGGTCAGGGAGGGTAAAGCCTCCCGGTATACCGGGACGGAAATGACTCGGCTACGCCTCACACAATACTGACATCAGTCCGTTATAATTAGGATCCCAAATCTCTCATGTGGTTCTGCTTTTTGGGTCTGTTTTTTTTGGGGGGGTTTGGGGGGTACCCCCAGTGGGGCCCCAGGCTGGACCCGGGCCGCTTGGCCTGGTCCGAGAAGGGGAGCTCGCGAATTTCCAGCTGCTGCTGCCCTGCCCTGCCTGCCCGCCCTGCCCTGTACTGCTGGCCTGGCCCCTGCCCTGCCCTGCCCTGCCCTGCCCTGACCTGCTTTGCTATGCTTTCGAGCAACCTTGACAGGGTGCGAGAGGCGAAGTGTTTGTTGGGAACCCTTGTTTCTCGTCGAGCGGCCGGCACAGGCCGCGAGGACCCACAACCTGACAGTAATTCATTTCAGCTCCGTTTTGCTGTGAAACGCAAATTTTCTGCAGATCTGCGAGGGAAAGCAGAGAGCAAGAAAGCCCCCCTTGAGGGGGGTTGCGGGGGACTACATGCTGACGCAAGCGCGCGATTAGTGGGTGCGCCCCTATTCCCAAAGTAAAAGGCGCACCCACCGCGCGCACACTGTCTACACACCCTAAACCAAAAATCCTAAACCCTAAGCTCTAAATCCTAAACACTCCTTATCATAATATGTATTTAAACCTTATTATGACCTTCGTTGGAATTTGCTCACTTTTGAGCAATTTCCAACGAATCGTCGGTGAGTTTCTGACGCACTTTTCATTTCCATTCGTTGGAATTTGCTCACTTTGATCAAATTCCAACGAATCGGATTTCCATTCTTTGGAATTTGCACACTTGTGAGCAACTTGCAACGAATCGTCAGTGCGCAGTCTTCATTTCAACTTCCAATCAATCGGATTTCCATTCGTTCGTTTGTGCTCAGTTTTGATCGATTTCCAACGCATCGTCAGCGATTTCCTGGCGCAATGTTCATTTCCATTCGTTGGAATTTGTCACATTTCCATGTTCCTCGGGCTTGCCTCTCCGTCGTGGAATTGGCCGTCTCGAGCGAAGACGTACGACCTAGCGAGCGTTTTGGTTCCAGGGTGGGTTGGGGTTTAGGGTTTAACTTCTACAGCATCAATGGCGCAGAACAGGGGGGCTGGTGGGCGACATCAAATTACAGAATTCTAGAGATTTCAAGTTTTGTCTGGTCGTGGGGCTTTGGACTGTCGAGGACGTGGCCGCCAAGCGATGGCGTGATAGAATGATGTCAGCCATTGTGTAAAAAACCCTGCACCTGTAGAGGAGTCTGTTGCTGCCTAGCTGTTGGCGGCTGGGCCCATTGAGGGGTCAAAATATGTCGCTCTTGAAGGCTGGGCTCCTTGAGGGGTCAAAGCCTGTCGCTTTTGAAGGCTGGGGGCCCCTTGAGGTGTCAAAGCATGTAAGTTTTGAAGGCTGGGCCCCTTGGCTGGGCCCCTTGAGGGGTCAAAACCTGTTGCTCTTGAAGTTTGGGCCCCTTGAGGGGTCAAAACATGTAGCTCTTGAAGGTTGGGCCCCGTGAGGGGTCAAAGCATGTCGCTCTTGACGGCTGGGCCCTTCGAGGGGTCAAAGCATGTCGCTCTTGAAGGCTGAGCCTCTTGAGGGCTCAAAGCATGTAGCTGTTGAAGGCTGGGCCCCATGAGGGGTCAACACATGTCGCTCTTTAAGACCGGGCCCCGTGAGGGGTCAAAACATGTCGCGCTTGAAGGCTGGGCCCTTCGACGGTGGGAGACATCAAAGCACAGATGGGCATTGGAGCGGAACAAGAGGGTCGGTGGGCGACATCACATCGTCCGGTCGTAGGCGATTGGACTGCCGAAGACGTGGCCGCCAAGCGATGGCGTCTTAAAACGATTTCAGCCAATGTGTAGAACGTCCTGCTTGTGGATGAGTCTGTTGCTGCTTGTCTTGTGGTACAGATATCGTTACTATCCCGAGTGAACTAGAG